AGTTGACATAATGTGTTTAAGTAAATTCCACACTTCAGTTTTTAGAGTACATCGAAACTCCTTTCATGATGAGTCTGTTTATATTCAAATTTGTAGTGTGTAACAAGGTGGTAAATTTTAAAGTAAAGAAGTAAAAGGATCATTTTTATGTTTGAATGTAACCAAAACAGTAAGTAGTAATTTATATTAAAAAAACTTAATAAAATTACAGATCCTGAAAAAAATACTTAAGCACTCTAAGGAAGTAAAAGTACTTCACCATACACCTCTGGCAGGAAGTAATAATTATATGTACAACTACAACAGATTAGCTTGTGGATGGCCCGCCACAGACAGCTAACATTAAAAACATAATTAGTATTCGTTTTGTAATTATCTCCATCAAAACTTTAAGCGCATCTTTTAAAATCACAAACAAAACCTCTAAAGCAGTTAGGAAATCATATACTGTATATAAGATTGCGTTCAACGTCCTCACACAAAAAGATCAACATTACTTTTGAATTAGTGACYAAGATTTATTTTGTGTATTAGCTTCACCTTTTAATGCACTTTGGAATACAATCAGCCAGTTTAGTCGTAAAAAATAAAAATTCAACGTCTAAATTTCATTCTGAAAAATAAACACGTATAAAAAGGTCATGAAACGTTATTTTGAAGTAGTGTTCTAAGAGAAGAAAATAAAAAAAAGTTAACATTTTAGAGCTAACGAGGAAATGTTTTGATGGTTTCAGCTAAAAGCAGTGMTTCAATGAGATATGAAGCCAAGTGTCAACGGAAATATGTAGCGCTTTGTAGCTAAAGGCACTGAGGACATTTCAAGCAGATCCCACTGGATTTAAAAAAAAAGACATTTTTAAATATGCCGACGTGGCAAAACCAAGTTTTTTTTACACTTACAATCACCATGAAATATATTGTACAATTTAATTTTTTAAAAGAAAACTATGGAGTCAAGTTGATGTGACGTGGAGGTGGCTACACCAGCAGCATTTGATACATTAAGAGTGTCTGAATAATACTTATTCATRGGTTGTAGCAGGTTAAATACAGATTCTTGAAATGCTTGATAGAAACAGGTAAAACTTTGGTGTGAACACAAACACATAAGAGAAAAAATGTCCAGCATTTGTAAATATACACAAAAGCGTAACTTGCCGTGTGACTTTTAGTCCATTGTTGGTAAGGCCACTAGAATAAATAGCACTTGTTTTGAGAACCGCCACCCAGTTTCAGACCTTAGTCTGATGACCAGGGAAGCACATTTTGGGTTAACTGAAAGACTAAAAGCAAACGGTTTGCCCTGCCCTCTCAGGTAAATCACCTGAACAGGCTGGTTTGAAGCAGATTTGATCATCTCGAAAGTATTCAAACTTCAAAGAGACGTTGTAAACAGCGGGGTTGGACTGAGGACGCAGTAACAGTCGAATGTTTTTGTTGGTTCCCAGGATCGGTTTCAGGAGTGATGCAGTCTCTGGAGATCTAAAGTGGGGGAACAACGTGGCTACAGTGGAGTTTCTCTGCGAGAACTGGAAGTTCGGCTGTTCGTGATGTTGAACTCTGACAGGATGTCTGAAGAGGTTTTTATTGGCATTTTCCTCCAAAAGTCTCTGTCTCACTGCAGCAGATTATCAAACGCACAGTCTGGTAGGATAGAAATCTTCAGCTTCTTCTCCGGCCAGCTGTACTCCTTGGGCAATTTTGTCTAAACAAGCCAGATCAGATACTTAAGGTGAAACAGATTTGCAAGCTGAAAGTAAAAAAAAAAAAAAAAGGAAGCAAAACGGGGGGTTTTACTTACCTCATCATGAGTGTTGAGCTCCTGTAAATCCCCTAACATTTGCTCCACAAACTCCTCGGTCAGCAATATCTACATAGCGGAGTGGAGGAAGTTAAAACAATCATAGACTGAGTAGAGTGGGTAAGAAAAAAAAAAGTCWGATTTATTTATATGAATACCTGAAGCCAGGGGCCGTGGGCTGCATAAGGATGCTCCTCTGTAGCAAAAGCACCTTCTACTCCTGTAGACACAAACGTGATGGCAGTGTCGCCGTTGATACTTTTATAAGTAAAATGTCTTCCGTGGAGTAACCTGCCCCTGTGTATGAGAATAAAACTCTGTAATCAATTAGTTTAGCCACAAGGGAGCAACCCTTTCCAACACAAACTATGGACGATATATGTCTTTTTAAGGTGATAATGGCATGAAAAAAAAGTCATTACAAGGAACTGGCTGAGCAGTGACACTCTGAAACACAATCAATCAATTAAAGGGGAAATCTACTCAAGAGAAAAAWAATTAAACATTATCTGAGGCTGAAAGCAGGTAAACTCAAACCAAGAAATGGACTCTCTTCACACTTTAAGATAGTTTAGATTTTATTTGTTAGCTCCGCGTGCTTGCGTGGGTTTTCTCCGGGTACCCCTGTTTCCCCCATCCCTAAAAAAAAACATGTATAACAGGTTGCCTTCAGGCCCAGGCCTCCCTTGAAAAAGAGATCTGAGATCTCAACGAGACTTGCTTGATTAAATAACGGTAAATAAAATAAATAAAATAGCTGCACCGAACATGCTCTGCTCTTTTTGTTTATGCTATTTTATTTGAAAAATGCACAAATATAGAGTTAAGAAAAGCCAATTCAACACACTAAATATGGACAAAAAATTAGCTGCAAATCTAAAAAAAAAAACTAAACTAGCCTAAAAGTAGCTGAAATTAGCCCAAAGAAACAGGACGAGCACATCGTTGCTGAATCAAGCAGTAAGAAGCTGAATTTATCACAAGTGTTTAGCTGAAAAAAAACTTTAAATTAGATTAAAAAAAACAGCTGAAATTAGCAGAAAACAGCTGAAAGAAGCGCAAAAGTTGAAATTAGCAGAACAACAGAAAAGGTCAAAAAGATAGCTAAAAAAGCAGAAAAAAACTAAAATCAGCTAAATAGAAGCCAAGGGAAGCCGAATTAGTCCAAAAAAGTAAAACAAACAAATAAGCAGAACCAAAAACCAAAAAGGAATAAAGTCCAGTAAATATTTATGTCTATTTTGAAGGATGTTGAAAACAGCTCCATTCATTTTCAATGAGGAAAAACATGGCAGAAAAAGCTAAGTATCTAATAAATTGCTGAAATTCTATAATTCATAGCTGGAATGTCATTATGTCAAACTTTTTTTTATGTAAATTGTTAAAAAAGTGCAAAGATTGAAAGATACATGTCGAAAATCACATTTTTCTATTAACACAGACAAATGTTGCAGATACAACTCAGTAAGCAGTACACGTGACGATATGTAATCTCATGGTGTTTTAGTCTAAAAAAAATCTTGTTACACACATTGTAATTTGTTTCTTTAGAAAATAATCCTTTGATTGTCAATGTGATTTTCCAGTGTGGAACAGTGAGAATGTGTGAGTACCGCAGGCACAGGGGCAGCAGTGTGCCCGACTCTTGGTTGAACTTCAGGTGAACGCTCTCCAGCTGTCGTGTTCGGACCAACTCATGGGGAACAATGGCTGCTGAACTTTCACTTTCCAAACTGTCCTTGCGACTCCTGAAAACCAACAATGAAGTATATTAAAAAAAAGAAAAGAAAAAAAGGAGAGAAATCCAAATACAGTACAGTCACCTATGATCTCATGATTTTCCTGGGAAAGAATTCACCACAGGAAGTGGTGAGTCTTGTCASTAAATAGGAATGTAAAGCGATTTCACAATTCTTATGGATCGAACTCTGTAGAGGAGTCAACGAATTCCACAGAGAGGTGGAAACACAATCGCAACAAACCAACTTAACATCCTGGTTTCTGAAAAACAATGACGGTAACAGCTCGGATGTCGGTGGGGCTCTGAGTCACAGCRTATGATGAGGGGCTTATCATGGTGAAGCCCATGTGCTGAGCAGAGAGCCATGTCAGGGTGTGTTAGGTGTGGGAGGAAAACTCACGGAGCTCTCTCATGGCTCTGTTTCTGGCTGCTGATAGGTGGTAGTGCTGTCTTGCTGTTAAACTCTAGTCCTTTTCTCAAGGTCTCTCGGATCTGCTCCGTGTCTGTTTTCAAATAGAGAAAAATAAAAATAAAAATCCATCATTAAGAAGCCATGTTGTGTTTGCATCCTTAAGAGTCTGTGTACCTTTGTTTGAGAGTCTGCGTGGCTGTGATCCGATGCAGATCGATCGGCTGTCCTCCTCATCGTCCGGAGGGCGACTCAGATCGTCCCACACGCATTTGGCGCTGACCCCGCTCAGATTAGAGCCCTCGGTTTCAATACCCTGATCCACTCTGTCCTGCTTGGATGAGCAAGAAACATATGCAATCATTAACACTAGCTTAAGCAAAAGTCAGAGTTATTTTCTTTATTATCTGTGAAAATTGCTTCGTAAATTCTATTAGGATTACTGTGGGTAAAATACAATGCAGAGTTTTTTTTATTTTTATTTACTCCAATTAAACTTGAACTTCTTAATAGTTTCATTTAATCAATTTATATCTTCAAGAAAAGGTAACTTGTACAAAAACACTGTATTTGACAGTGAAGACATGATATTTGATCMTTTCTCTGAGATGTTCCTGAGCAAAAAAGGAACTCCAAAACAATGTGACACGCAGGAGCAACGGCCAGATTTTATTAAAGCCTTACTTGTAGGTGTGGGTCGATTTCAAAAATAGTTTCTCCTCTCCTCATGTCTGTGATCAGCCAAGGGCCACCAGCTCTGTACACARGAAAATCACCAATTGTTACTTCAAGTCAAACAAAAAGTTAATGAGTGAACGAATAATCCCTTCACTTTCTCATTACAACATATTCATCAAGCTGGTATGTATACTTTAAATTTAAAAAGGCACTGACTGTTTTTTCCTCCACCCTGCGAGCTCACAGCAGCTCACATTTTCAGTGACTCGACATAAAAGAAAAATAATCTTTAAATGTTATCCAAGGGTTGGTTTTATGAAAATAACCTGAACGTTTATTGCAAGCAAAAAAAGCCTCTTGGGATTCCTTTTAATAAAACATCATTTTTAACCTTCACGTTTTTTTAAAAGCTCAATTGTTGCGAATCCAGCTAATTAAAATTCAGTCACAAGCYACTCATCATTCATCAGCAGAAAAGTATTTCTTAATACCAACCTGCTTACGTCTGACAAAATCAACACCCACAGTTAAAAACTTTTCCCTTTTATGTTTTACCCATTTTGTAATGATTCAGAGCCTTAAAAAAAAGATTCAAATAATTCTTTCCCTTCTGTGTAAATATARTGTCATGTAATGAGTTATTTTTGTTAGCAACTTCATTTGTCGAACCAATATCTCGATTAGTCAGATTCCCCCGAAAAACAGACGAGACAAATGAACACCCACACAAAAGGTCTTGCTTTCTTATTCATTCGTGTTTCCCRCTGACCTGTTTGCCTGCCATCTGATAAAAAAATGTAATAATTTTCTTTTTGCTGASAGTAGTTTATTGTTCTAATTTTAAATGCAACAATATACACTGACCAGTCACAGCATTATGACTRCGAACATAAAACAATGAACAGAAATCTTGTTATAATGTAATATTTTTATAAAGAAAAGCTTCCCTCTCCTCTTGGATGTTTTTTTTGATAGTAGCCACACATGTAAAACTACGAGGTTACATCTTTTGCTTTTATTGTAAACTACAGATGTTGTCTTTCAGCTAAGCTAAACAATTTTCTTTAAATTGAATTAAAATTCTTTGTCATGGTAAATAAGTTGCTGCATCAGGCTTTAAATAAAACACAATGATCCTAATGAAATCACTGTGACGTGGTTTTAACCAAAATACCACAGCTTTACAGTACTACTATTATCTCCTCAAGAAGAACCATGACAAATGTAATCTTACCGTTTTAATTGTAAAAATATCGCTTGTTAAATCAAGAAGAGTTTTTGCTTACATTTTGATTCCCCGCATCAGCTCCAAGATGCCCTGGCCGTTCCACTGTTGGGCCGCCTGCAGCTCCTCGGCACAAACTCCCACAATCTACACAAAAACGCAGAAMCAAAGGTGGCAAAATATTTGTTCTTTCAGAATGTTTCTTTTAATCTGAACTTGTGCAGACTTTAGGCCTGCCAGCCACTTTTAGTGTTAAATAAGTTGAAGTTGAATGAAGTTACTTAAAAGAGCGCAATGCAATTAAAGAAAAAAAAAAAATTAATATCCAGAACATGGCAAAACTGAAAAAAAAAAAAAATGAGTAGGAGGAAGTTATTTATTTATAATCTGCTTAAAATAATATTTTCTGTATTTTAAACCCTGCTGATGTGCTTTAAAATGCTCGCTTTTTCTGCTTGGGAAAAAAAAAGCTTTACCTTTGTTGATGAGCATGTATGCTTCATAGGCTAATGCACTATTGATTGAAAATATTGAATAAAATTGATTTACAATTTTAGAATTAATTTCTTAATTTGATGTTTCAATTTTTCGTTGCTTATGTTTAAATATGTTTTTCTGTTTCATTTTATTCTTTCCACCATTTTCATACTGTTAATGATTGTACAGCACCTTGTGAATATATTTCTGTGAAAGGCGCTTTATAAATAAAACTTTACTTATTTACTTACTAGCTAACTAGCTCTGTTTTAAAGGGTCTGTATTTGATCAAAATTCACCCTTTAATGCCTATAGTTATTTTAACGTAGTGAAAAGAACAAAAGAGCTTTACGTGCAGTGGGAGTTATTTACTACGGTGTGACTGACACATATTTGAACTCACCTGGAGAAAGCTCACTGTGCCAAATGGAGTCTGAATTGGTTGCATCTGGGGGTCTTCTGTAAGCAACATGTGCTGGATACGAGACTCGCTGTTGTCGAGCGGACTGTGCCATGACACGTGGTCGCCACTGCAGAATGTGTTTTCTGTTCAAGATGAGCAAAGGGAATGATTATTTTACTCACATTCTCCAGATAACACACAAACACAGTCATAACTAAACATCAAGCACATCGGTTTCATAAACTTCTGAAAAAAAAGAAGCAAAAAGTCTTATTTTACTTAAGTAGTGTGACAATAAGAGGAAGAGAAGACAGCTCAGCGAGAAAGCAAAAAGAAACAGAAAGGAACATAAACTTAGATGTGAAATGAAAAGCATAAAAACTTAATTTTCATTTGAGTAAATTTAGCTACTTGGGAGGTATCGAGTACCCAGTCCAGATTCAGGAAATAAATAAATAAATAATATGTGGGAGAAGATGGCCAGGAATCGGCATTCATTTAGCTTATGAGCCCACCCACATACAAATCAACCCCAGCTGGAAAACAGAGCAGCGAGCCTGGAGTGAATAGCCTTCTACATTTTTGCAAAGCTTTATCTAGGACTCCATTTATGGAATCTATTTATGCTTTGTAAGTGACATAGTAGGCTGAGAAACTTTCATAAAGTTAACATWTCTGTGACCCATCACATCAAAACGAGGATTAAGTCTAAAAGTGGTACATGGAGAAATAGGCAAATATGTTTTGATTAAAACACTTACTAAACTGCATTTTGTGAAAACATAACACATAAATGCTTTATCAATGTATCATTTTAATGAACTGTGTGAAATATAATCACAAATTTTTTTTGAAGTACTTTTTTGAGCAGTAGCAACAAAAAAAAAAACTGATTTTGAGGAAAAACGCCTTAAAATTTTGAGATTTTCCCTGTGACCTAGCAATGTTTTTTTTTTTCCAGCTGGGAAATGTCAATATTCAAATACTATTTGAGATTTTCTCTTCATAATGAAATGAAAAATTCCTCATTAAAATTTCATAAAATTAGGATTCAGACCAAATATTAATGTATTATCATAACCAATAAGACAAATTAATGCATATCTCTGGTTCAGTTTATGATATCAGAATGATCTAGGTAACAAAATGTGGCTTTTAAAGTCAGGAATCTAAAAATGTAATCGGGTAATTTTGACCAAATTTGACTTCAATATGATGGGTCACATTTATTAGAGGAAGAGAATTTTTACACAACAGCAGACTTAGTTTTTATTCACTGAAACCTACAAASAAAGTTGAAAAATCAGACTTCCTGTCCAAAGTATAGAGCTCAAAACAATACTAACATGCACTAAACCTAAACTGATGTCCTGTCTTCAATTTAGACGGGTTTCAACTTATTAGGTGGCATGTCCAAAAAGCTTATTGACCGACAATAAATTGCAATAAAAAATTCATTATTAATTTTTACAGCTGAAAACAGTAAGACAAAAACAAAGAAAATCATAGATCTTTTTTTTCAAAACTACTTTTGCATTAATTTCATCACGTCAAATTCACAAGAACATAATCGTTCTTTAATCTTACCTGACTGGAACACGTAGCGTGCCAAGCCTTGCATGAGTTCAGCTGGCCATGTTGGAGGTGCCGTCTCTCCGACCTCTCGCTTGAGTCTGAAAGTCAGCTCAAACCCAAATCCACTGGATCCATCTGCTCCTGAAAATCTGAAAGAGACCAACACAGCGAGATATCAGGAAAAACAAACAATGATTTGTTGTTTTATTCTTACATAAACAACAACTGTAAAACTCAGAATACATAAAAGATTAAAAGGAGTCAGTCAGGAGGCAGAGTACTCCTTTCCTGTGGAGTGCAAATATTTATAAAGGGCTAAATCTTGTTGATACCTAAACTTTCCACAAACTTTTCTTATTTGTAATTAAACGTTTGAGTGAACTTACTCATGAACACGATTATCTCCATACAGGTCACTTAGTCCAAAGCTTACATAGTGCCAATGTTCCTGGACGTCCAGAGCTGGACAGCCCACATTCCTGTACATGCTGATGTAATCTAGTGGGTCTGGACCACCAAGCCTGTWAAATCCAAATGAAAACCACTGACCATGTAAGTTGTCCTTTTTGTTTACAGAGGAAATTACTTCAGCTTAAAACACTTAGTTTACAAGTGAGTTTAAAACTAAGCCGCAGTGTGATTCCTTCACGTACAGGCTTTTATGTTATTTTAAATGTATGACACTAAATTTACCGACCTAGTGATTAAAACAGCAGTGATTTACAGTGAGCTTCACCTGGATGTTAGTTAGCTGAAACGTTAGCATGGAAGCTAAGCTAAATGTAAGCTATCATTTATTTCTGCCATCACAACACAAACGTGCTTGGAAAGCTTTAGTGTATATATACTCAAAGCAGAAACAATACAATGTGTTACCTACCAATATTTAACTATTGCAGTAACTTGCAGCGGGTTGGCCTGATCGGGGTAAAGTCGCCGACATTCCCCATAAATAGCTTGCAGTCCGGGAGGAAACAGCGGCACCAGCCCGTGGGCTGGCGCACCACTGCTAGGCCGTATTTCATCCATGCCACGGCCTCAATAAAGGCGAGTTATTCTAAAACAAACACAACAGATAGGCAGTTTCAAAATGAGACGAAACTAAACCATAAACTACTCACAAACAACGRCTTCCGTCACCGTGAACTCAGACCTTTGTGCTAAACTCTGCGGGGGCCCGTTGCTCATCCTGTAAAAAAAAMCCTGTTCAGCCATTGGTGAGGAATGGCATTACGTCATTGATTGATAAGTAACAACAGCCAATGAAAGTGTAGTATCTCACTCATAGATGATTTTGATTGACCGATCCACTGTCCATAGGCGGATACAATTTTCGGGATTGCCCTCAGTGTGTGGAAGTTTTTCAGGGTTTAAATTATACATCTGTGTTGATAGATGTAATTTTAATTTTTTCATTTTTTTGTTTTTGATCAACTATTGATAAATTAAAGCAATAACCATTTTATTTCATAAAGGTATCAATTCGAGTGTAAAAATAATATCGTTAGCAAAACATACAAAAATT